GACCGGTCTCGGCTCAGTTTTTTAAGGGTAGTGTAAACGGGGTATATGTCTCTGGAAGGGGGGTTGTTAAAGCGGGAATAGTTGGCCTGGATGAACAGGTTAGGTCTTCTGTTCTCCTGTAAAGGAGTTGGGGTTGCAATGATAGCAGGAAGGCATCAACTCCATTGCTGCATTTTCAGTTTGTTAAAGCCGAAATCTGAGTCCCCCCGCCTTCTCCAATATAAACATCAGATCATTCCTCACTGCATTGAGCTGCAGACACTTCGCTTATAATCAGTCTGGGGGGTTTTTGTCTTCATGATGCACTAGTCTCTGTTTAAGGATGTTTGGTTTAAAATGTTCTGGGATTTTCTGTCTTGAGAAAATTCTCTTGAGTTTTTGTTGGGCTACTGGATAGAGCCTGGAACTAAACGCCATTTCTAACATTTTGAATTAAAAAATCTTCCTGGATGGGAAACAAAACATCTTCAGACTTGGAGAAAAAGTCCAGGGGATTGATTTTATCTTCTATGGAATGTTTTTAATATTAAAATCCTAAAGGAATTAAACATGGACCTGTCAGAACCCCCCAGAACCTGTGGGAGGTTCTGCCCTGGCAGCACTGTGGCCATGGGGTCAGGACAGTAGAAGCTCTCCACAGTTACATGGTGGTGGCAGCATCATGCTGATGGACATGTGGAGTGAACACTCAGAACCCGGGCCAACAGCTGAAGTTCTGTAGAACACGGAGCTTCCTGCACGTCTGAGTCAGACCCAGTGGATCAGAGCTTCATCCTGATTGGCTGAAACATCTTCAGACCGTTCAAAGATCCACTCTGCCCCCCAGAGCGGATCAGAACCGGGCTCAGGTCCGTAACTCACCATCTTTGCAGCTTCAGCTTCTCCTTCAGCCTGGATAATCTTCTGCCTCTGCTCCTGTTTGGCCTTCTCCACGTAGAACTGAGCGCGCTGCGCCTCCTGCTGGGCTGGAGGAGAACAGCCCCAGTCAGCTTAGAGGAGGTTCTGGAAGCGTCCGTGGAGCAGGGAGGGGTTCTGGTCCACTCACCGACTTGCTTGGCCTCCACGGCGGCCGTGTACTCCCTGCTGAAGCTGAGCTCGGTGATGGCCACGTCGTCCAGGATGATGTTGAAGTCTTTGGCGCGCTCGAACAGCTCCCTCCGGATCAACAGAGACACCTGCAGGATCCACACACCTCAGAACCGACTGGAGGAGAACCAGAACCAGGACAGGAAATAAAACCAGAACCAACACCCCCCTTTATATTGTTTATATCCATCTGAGAAATACAGTAGTAGCCATTCAAAGTTCCTCGCTTTCCTTGATGGGACCATGGCGGCTCCCCTACAATCTAAAATATTCTGTCATGATTTGCAGACAGTTTTAGGGGACTCTGCTGCCAGTTGAACAGGAACGGCCATTTTGAATGGCTGCTGCTGTATGTGGCGGTATAAGCTTTGCCCACATCGACCAGAACCAGAACTTAGATGGTGCTGAAACCAAATTTGCTTTAAACTAGATCAACGTCTTTGTTTATAGCGGATTTGGACCGAGCCTTGTAACGTCATTATTGCGCCGTCCTGCTTCAGATATAAAATACTTTTTTATTTTCTTCTAAGAACATCAAACCCCATTTCTTCCCACGAGTTTCAGTTTCTAAGAGTTAAACCTTAAATATCAGACAGGAGAACTGGTTAGAGGGATGAAACTAGCATCATTAGACAAAGTTACACGACATTATGAATGTAAAGAATTCAGATGATCAGAGATGAAAGTAGTTTAAATTCCTGTTGGTACAAAGAAAAGTCTAATGGCGGTCTAACCTCTCACTCTGTGTAACCTGAGCGTTTCAGGGAGTTCTGCTATTTAACAGCCATCTTTAAACCAAACCAGCCACATGAGACCATGAGATGCATCATAGGTGCATTTAAACAGACATTATGGTGAAAAGGAAGCAGGGAGACGATCTATCAGGCATCACTGAGGATGCTTTTCTGAATAATTAACCTTTTCATAGCTACTAGCTCATAGTTCTGGGTACCTGAGCTCTTTGTGTGATCAGCTGCGAGGCGTTGAACTTGGCCACCACGCTCTTCAGCACTTCGTTGACGATGGAGGGCAGCACGCGCTCGTCGTAGTCCTGGCCCAGCTGCTGGTAGAGGACGGGCAGGTTGGAGGCCAGCGGCCGCGACAGAACCCTCAGCGTCACGTTCACCATCTGCAGGTCTGCAAACACGGAGAGCGGCGGCGCCGTCAGGAGCAGCTTCCTGTCCACTATATTTCAACATGAACCAAACATTGCCCTGGTTTCCATAGCAACCAACCAGCTCACTCAAAGCTTTAGTTTCTCCTACTTCTCCTGAAGGCAGCACACATGTAGAGAAGGTCAGAGAGTGAGAAGCAAGGAGATAGGTTTGATTTCAGCTTTGGTAGGGACACTGCTGGTCTAAAGTTTCATTGGTCTGATGTCATTGGTCTGATGTCATTGGTCTGATGTCATTGGTCCGACACAATACATAATGCATAATGCTTTTTGTTATGCTTGAGGTGAGCATCATTAGAAGGCCAGATTCGAAGGACGATGACGTCATAGTGCGGCGCTGAGGTCTGGTAAGATTCCAAGAGTCCTCGTTATGCTGCCTTAAAATGCGTCCTTCTTTTTGTCCAATTTGAAGGACGGGTCTGATGTATCCTCGCTATCCTTAGTTTACCCAGGATTCATTGCGAGACCAAGCAAGCCGGATGCTCCGTGATCAGAGGAGAGGTTACTTGGTGCCGAACAGTGGTGAAAATTGGAAGTTCAGTTTAATATAATCCAGTCT